AGTGAGGAGCTTAACCTATGTGGAGTTTCGCTCTTCTAACTAAAGATCGTTTCCCCGTGACACACGTTTTGGTTCTGGGCACTTGGGTTTTGTCGAGGGTTAGGGCTGGGCTGGCCACCAAACCCTGGCAGATGCTCACTAACCCCTCTCCCTCCATCAGAACGGGGTAGGAAATGGAATCCAGAGACAGTTACAGATTGGAAAACTGTAACAGCTTTAATAAAACAATAATAATAATAATATGGAAATAATAAAAATAACGAAATATGTAATATGTTCAAATCCCATATCAGATCCAACCCCCACCCTGATAGGAATCCCCGTTGATTCTTCAGAGCAGGTGGCACTCGGGAAGCCCCAGGCTCAGCAGCAGAGGGAAGCTGGATTAAGGAACACAGGATTCAGATCAAAGGCAGAAAATTGGAAAGAGTCCTTCTCAGAGGCTGGCCATTGAAGAAGAGAGCTTAACCCCTATGATTTTTCAGCATTATACTGAGTATAACATATATGGAATGCAACACTCTTCTTGGTCACCTATCCTGTCTGCAGCATTTTACTTCCTTGTGACCCCTTTTACTTCTCAGCACCTCCAGCGTGGCACACAAGAGCCAGCAGTGACCTTGGTTACTATACAAGCAAATATAACCAAGAGCCTTTCTGCATCCCAATCCCTGGCAGTAACTGCAAACGTCAGACATTATCACTTCTAGTAGCAGACTGTCTGGAAAAACATGCTGCTAACTTCAGAAAGTGCAGCCTCTTAGAAGACTAGTTAAAAAAAAAAAAGCTGAAAAGTAAAAATCACTGAACAGAAATAGTGGTTTTTAGCTCAGACCAGGACAGTTTTGCATATTTGGCTGAGAAAGCAGAAACTTCAACAAAAAACTCTCAACCAAATGCTAGTTTAGAAAGCTGACATTGATTTATTGGCCAAGTTGGCCAAGTTTGGATGCTCAGTGAAACCAGCATCCCACATCGAAAAATTGCAACATATGTATTTTGTAACTTATTAATATAAACACGCCTAACTTGCCACTAATTCAGCCAGTTAGCTCAGTGGATTGAGCGCGGTGCTGAGAACACTGAGGTCCTGGGTTCGATTCCTGTTCGGTCCACATGTGTTGCCTGATCTAGTCGAGCAGTGGGGTCCCTGGCCCATGACAGGGAGGTTGGATTAAAATGATCTCTCAGGTCCCTTCCAGCCAAGACCGTTCTATGATTCTGTGATTCTAGTTACTGGTTAGTGATGACGGTTACATTCATCATTGGATCCGTATATTAAGATTAGCTTCGCCTCTCACAGAAGTTAGCGCACGTGCTTCTTGTGGGTGTAGGGGCATGAGTTTTTGGTGCTCTGAATTGAGGTGACGGTTGCAACCTGCCACTGCCACATTTAATTTTGGCTCACTCTCAGCCTTTCATAAACAATTCTTGCTGTTTTGATACCCTCTAATCTCCATAATGAAGGTTTTGACTAGAAAAGTCCCGCTTAGGTCCAGTTCCACACACTCCCAAGGACAAACAGCTTGTTAAAACCTTCTAAACAACAGTCTTTTTGCTATCTCCAGGTCTGGAAAATTTCTTTGTCATCTCTTCCCATCCTTAAAGCTCTATTCTTTGAAAGACTGATTTGCCTTAAGAAGGCAGTAAAAATCATTCTGCCATCCTTACGACAACAGGATCAGTGCAGTGATTTGCTTTGCCTGAGGTGCCGACCTTGAAGGTTGTTGGACTTCTTGGGCGAGGAGCTCTCCCCTGTGTGTGCAGTGGGAGCAGTAGTGGTCACATGCAGATGCTGCTGCTCAGATCTGAGGAGACACTTCTTAGCTGGGAGATGTCGGGAGTGGATGCTGGAGTGGTGCTTTGTCCTGCAAAGCGGTCTCTTGGCCAGGTTTTCCTCTCTGATATCGTGGAAGGAGGAGGCTGCTTAGGGGGGGTTGTTGTGGTCCAAGGTTGCGGTGGTTGAGTATAAAAATGTGTATTTGTGGGTGATGTTCAGAACCAGGATGGAGGGGCCTGTTGTCTGGTTTTGCTTGAGGAGTGGGAAGAAGCAGATTTCACTCACTTTTAATATCCTTATTAAAATAAAAAGCAAATATTGTAGGTGTCCATGGCAAAGCAGTTATATGAGTTGAGCCATTTGTCATTTCCTGGTCACATGCTCCAAAGTCAGATATTTTTCAAGTGCTATAGAAATTGACCCTGGGTGGGCAATGTTTGTAAAGTAACCTGATGTACAGCCTAGGTGAATATTGCACTTGTAAATGCAATAACGTCTCTCCTGCCTTTTGTCTCCAAACCTATTTTTTCACTCTAGTCGAAGATGTAATAAAATATCTCGACCCTCAGTACATTGATAGGATGGCTGTTCCAGATGCCATGAAGCTGCAGTTCATCTTGGCAGGTATGGCATGAAATGAGAGGATACAGGGGAGAGGTTTTTAGCACTGCAAAAGTTATCTTTTACCCAAGCTGAACCAGGGTGGATTTCTCACCTTTAGTTGTAAAGATCTTGCAAGGTTCTGTTGAAGGAGTGCAATCTGAACCCTAGGTTTCCCAAAGCAGCATCTCAGGCATTGAATCTCATAAAAACAAATAATTTAATAGAAAGGTGCAGCAGCAGGGTCGTCTCAAGCTGGGAGCCTCCAGAGGGAGACGCTGAACAGAGAAATCCCTGGGTATTTATACCCCTACAGACCATATATCTGCCCTTCTTGCACCTTTCTTGTGCCCTTTGTTCCGATGGTGATTCTGGCCTGAGATCCTCCGATGCCTTCTGACTCCTGATTGGATTCCTTTGCTGTCTCCAAGCAGGCCATTATCTTGACTAGTTGCAGCCACTATTGACACTTGTACCTGCCTTATCTTCTGGTTTGTGCTGGCTATGGAGGCCTTGCCTTGCTTGAATAGAAGTTCTCTACCAGTTCAGCAAATGTAGGTGAAAATTTACAGCTTGTAGCTTGAGGCTTCAGCAAATCTATCTGCTCGTGCCAAGTAAGTAGAGCTAAGCAAAGAGCATACTAAATCACACATTATAACTCTAAGGGATTCATTCTATTAAAAACTTATTTATATAGGCTAAACAACTAATATCTCTTAGCAGGCACCCTCTTTAGAGCAATCAGAGAGATGGTTTGTTCAAGGATGCCTGTCATCCTTAGTGCTCCCTTGTGTTTTATCAGTTCTGTTTTTTTTAGCGTTGACCAATTTAATCCCGAATTAATAGAAGTTTGAAAATTAAAACTGGAGCTAGAGCAGTTTTCCTCATCCCACTTCCAGTACTCTCTAGTCTGTGACAAAAATGGAAGATGTTTGGATATATTTTTAAACACCTTCTAGCTTTGTCCTCTTTTGTCCCAAAGAATTTGGTTCAGTTTTGTGTTCTTATAGTCTGTGAATGAAACTTGGTGAAGATTCTCCTGATTTAAATTACTATGAACCAAGATCCAGGAAGGAGCCGTACAGAAGTCTAAGTAAAATGATAAAAATCATAAACAAGCCTCTTTCTGTAGAGCTAGATCAACTGGCAAAGTTATATGACCAGTGTCTGTGAAAAGCCAAATCAGTGTTGTGTGTTTATTGACGTTTCTTCTTGTCCTTCCCCGAACAGAGGAGCAGGTTATTCCTTCCCGGGCAGCTCTTCTGGAGCAGGTGAAGAACCTCCAGCCTGTCTTGGACAGTACCAGTATCCAAGGTACGCATGTTCTTCTGCAAGTTTGAGCTGCAAATGCCACCTCCCAAGCTGTTACTTATCCTGCTTTTCTTTTTTCTTTATTTCTTTTTCTTGAGCCTCAGACTAGAGGAGAGGACAGCTAAGCATACAACATAGTGTGAATAAAGCAGTTACAAACTTAGTAGGATGTCTGCTGCTCCCCTGTGGTGCTCTAACCTCTTTTACAGGGTTGAGGAAGTGATAGGGTAAGTCGGGAAGCAGGTTACAGACCGCAACTTGGCAGAGAGCATGGTGACCAGCCAGCCATTCTTTCCTCTGAGCTCCTTTGTGTCCAGAAAATTGCTGCTCCTGGTGCTTTTTAATTGCTTGCCATAAAGTTCATCCAAGTAGATTACTCTAATGTAGTTCTGGACTAACCCTCGCTGTGGGCATCGCCCTGACTTGTGCCATCCAGAAGCAGTTAGCAGATAAACTTGCTATTTCACATACAGGGTAGCTAGGTGTTTGTTTTATTGCATAGAAGGTATGTCTGTGGTGTATGGCACTTGCATTTGGAGTGTGGAGTTTTGCTGTAATGTGCTTGTGGAAGAAGGAATGGTCTGTATATCCCACATGCTGTAAACCAAACAAAATGGATTTCTCTTCTGTGCTTTCAGCGGTTCCTGACCATGCAGCCAAACTGCAGCGACTCTCACAAATCCATGTACAGCAGCAGGTACCATGAATATTCTTCGACGGTCTTGACTAGCTGGGAGGAGGAACAATTTGTCAGTGGCTGTACTGACACCACTGTATTCGCAATTGCTTGAATTGCTCTCAAGAGTTTTTTCAATCCTGGGATATTCTTACTGCAGTCTTAAAGAAGTCTTAACACTTTGCGAGGAAGTAGACAGGGTTCCTGACAACTGAGTCTGAGTTGGAAAAGCTCTTTGCCTACCATAACCCTCCTCAAAACAAGTCTGAGTGGCACTTAATAAGCAGCAGTGGGTTTATTTGACTGGCATTCCCCTTTTCACTGGGACATTTTCAATGTCCTGGTTTCTGGAAGGCTGTTGATACTGTCACCTTGTCACTTCTCCCTTTGCTTCCCCATTTGAGTTCTTCTGGTGCTGGCAGTGAGTAGCCTGGACAGTGCCTAATGCCACCTTTCAGGATTTTGTTGTGAGTTTCCGTTCTGGGGCAAGCAAAGCATGGACACTGAGAAGAGGCAGGCAGTAGTGCAAGTCCAGGGGGTTTCATCTGCACAGGTATGCGTAACCTTCTTTTCACTATGGGAACCCTTCCAGCTGCAACGAGTGGCCACAGCCAGGGTCTGAGCTCTAATCTCAGTAACCAGCCTTGGGTGAGTTCCCTGCCATGCTGTCAGGAACTGGTAGGACTGTTATCATTCAGCTTGTTTATTGCTTACTCACTGTTGCTTCTCTCGTCACAGGAACAGCGTCATGATCTCACTGACAGTGTCAAGACACTTCTCGAGGACTACAACAAAATGGTATCCTTTGAGCCTTGGGCCTGATGCAAATGAATTGCCTGCCTGTCTCCCGGGCTGGTTCCCCCCATCAGATACTGTTGGATCCCCAGCCCTAAGCTTAATGGCCGGTACCCTTTCTGTGTTCTTGTCATACTCCGCTCAGGAGGAGAGCCGAGGCCCAGAACTGCCTCTCTCTGAGATGGGAAGGGCAGAGTACCACCTGCAAGTCAGAGCCGCTGTGCTGGATGTGCTCACAGTGCGGCTCGGCACAAAGTAGCAGCACAGCCTGTGTGCTGCTACAGATCTGGAACTGGCCGGGTGGACATTGACATCTCTGTCAGGTGGCTGCTGGTCCCTGCGACCTCCCTGAGCCAAACAGCGGATAATCCTGTATCATGGTTAGAGCCCACCCAGCTGGTAATAAGGAAACACGCAGCTGCTCGCCCACTCCTGCTCAGGGGGGAAAAAAGCAGTAGTCTAGTGGAGTAAACAGTAATTTAATTTAAACAACAAACCCACCACCAGTTTACAAATCAAATCAGAGTAGGGTAAAAAGAAAATACAGCCAGATCTTAAATACCCCTTTCCCCACCCTTCCCTTTTTCCCAGGGTCAGCTCTGCTCCCAGTTTCTCCCAGTGGTGCAGGGAGGCGGGAGATGAGGGTTGTGATCAGTCCATCATCAGGCATTGTGTCTGCTGCTCCTTCCTCCTCAGGAAGAGGTCTTGTGATTTTCCCTGGGTCCAACATGGTATCCCTCTAACAGGGGACAGTCCTCTTCAAACTTTCCAACACGAGTCCTTGCCGCAGGGCTGCAGCTCTCCTTGAACTGCTCCAGTGCGGGTCTCTCCTGGGGGCTGCAGTCCTCCCACAAGCACAGACTCCCCCAGAGTCACAGCACACTTCATGGGCCGCCCTGTTGGGGTGCCCCACAGGCTGCAAGTGGCAATCTGGTCCACCGTCAGTCATCACAGGGTCTCAGCCGGCCAAATCACCGTAAGCTTGCAGTGGAATCTCTGCTGTGGCACACCTCTGCCCCTCCTTCTTCAATGGCCTTGGTGTCCACATGGTTGCTCCTCATATCCTTCTCCTCCGCTAGACAAAAGAACTCCCCCAAGACGAAAGAACTCCCCTAGTGGGTTTTTCCCCTCTCTTTTTTGCAGAGGTGCTGATTGGCTTGGCCTTGGCCAGAGGTGGGTCTAACTTGTAACTGGGAGGGGGCTCTAGAAGCTTCCCACCGGAGCCAGTCTTCTAGTCCCCTGCTACCAAAACCCCACTAGACAAATCCAACACATCTAGTGCTGAGAAAAGTCCTAAAAGCACAGTGGGTAGGAAAGCTCTTGATTTTTTTTCTGTAGAAAGCCCTTTGAAATGCAGCATTACACTGTGTTCAGAAGTGCCTCTTGGGCTGCCATCAGTGTTTGGTGCCGTGCAGTGACTCAACACCTGGATGGTTTGGAGTTGCTGCGGGCTTTCTGCAGCCTGGGGACCTGTTTTCCCTCCCAAGGAATCGGGATTGTAACAGTGCTGTTGGGCTGTCAGGGCGCTCTGGTTTTGGCTGCTACCACATCTGTTTCCTTAAAAGAGTCGTCTCCAGACCCTGCTTCTCTCCAAGCAGTTTGTCCAGTGGCATGAAATACTGACACGCCTGGAAATGGCCAAGGAGGCAAAACCTGTGGCAGAGTGATGGCAAAGCCAAGAGCCCTGAGAACCACGGAGGCGGGTGTTTGGTGTTGCTGGAGAGGCAGCGGCTCAGCTTGTGCCCTGCTGCCTCAGCACCTTCCCCCTGGTGATGTCAGCGTGCTGCAAGTGATGTCGCAGACTCTTCGCGAGCACTCTGTCTCTGCGGATCAGCTCTGTCAGCCCCAAGTAGAAGCATGCTATTTATATGCCACTGTTCACAAATCTTGCGCTTCCCTGAATCGTGTTTTGGTTTGTAACATATTTAAAAATCCCTTTCTGCTCTTACTGCAGACCATAGTAAAGTCCTGAAGCGCTTATTGTTATCTCTTCTTCCCTGGGTGCGAGGACTCACTCTTGGGCTGACCCCCAGGCAAGGAGCTGCTCCATGGGAGTCTGCATGAATTTGATGGTGGTTTCATTGAATCATGGAATGGTTTGGGTTGGGAGGGGGCTTAAAGACCATCTAGTTCCAACCCCCTGTCACGGGCAGGGACACCTCCCACTAAACGAAGTTGCTCAAACTGCCGCCCAGCCTGGCCCTGAGCACTTCCAGGGAGGGGGTTGACACAGCTTCTCTGGGCAACCTGTGTGTCTCACTGCTCTGAGAGTGAAGAATTTCTTAGAAATATCTAGTATAAATCTACCCTCTTTCAGTTTGAAACCCCTTGTCCTGTCACTACACTTGCTGGTAAAGTGTCCCTTTTTTTTTCCTTTCCTGTAGCCTCCCTTTCCATACTGGAAGGCCTCTATAATATCTCCCTGGAACCTTCTCCAGGCTGAACAACTCTAACTCTTTCAGACTTTCCTCACAGGAGAGGTGCTCCAACCCCATGATTATCTTCATGGCCCTCCTCTGGACCTGTTCGAACGGGTGTGTGTCCTTCTTTAGGCACTCCAGATCTGAACACTGCACTGCAGGTGAGGTCTCACCAGAGAGAGCTCTCACCAGAGCAGAGTAGATGGGCAGGATCACCGCCTTTGACCCACTGGCCACGCTGCTTTTGATGGGCCCGCTGCTGCTTCGCGTTCAGTTTTTCATCCCCCACCGCGCCCAAGCCCTTCTGTGCAGGGCTGCTCTCAATGCACTCATCTCCCAGCTTTGGGCCAAGGGCAGGTGAATCCCTTCTGTTCCCACGTCCCGCTGCCGGGACGGGTGGGCACTGGGTCTCACTCGCTGGCTGAGGCGCCGACCGGCCGGGTT